AAATATCAGGTGAGCCTAAAACATGGAGGTGTATGCTCACCAAAAGTATTCACCATGGTAATGAAAGAGGTCCAAGTTAAAGAGATTCTCCAGGGATAGTCCAGTTCTCTGAATTCTCCTGTTTGCGGATGACAACGGGCTGGCTACCAGCCCTGGAACATAGCAGAGTCTCTCGGAACAGAACAGAACTTTTTAAAAGAGTCTGCCCTGACCATCCATACAGGAAGGACCAAGTGGACGAAAAGTGTCTGTTGTCTAGATTATGACACGAATTTGGATAAAAACCTCTAGGGCTTGTCCATCGGTATGTTCAGCTGGCACAAAGAGCACACACAGAACAGACTCGTAATGAGTTGAGCCAAGATTTGACCAGGAGGACGCTGGGTTGATTTACTTTTGAGAAATTGCATAGCTCCAGTAACGATCCCCCACTTTCCACAGAAACAAAGGCCCGTTGTTTAATGCCTGAATTCTGCTGGTGTTACAGTTTGGCAGGGGGACAGGAAACACCAGAAAAAAATAAATATAACTATCACCTGGGGGAGGGGCAAAGGAGAGGGGCACGGGTGGGAGGGAACAGGCTGTGACATACAACCAATGAGAAACCTGAATGATAAATAGAGTTAGCACTTCTACAGCACTTTCAGGTTTGCAAAGCTCTTCACACACGTGAACTAATTAGATATCAAACATGGCCCTGGGAGGGAAATGCTCTAATTGTCCCCCATTTTACAGGGAGGAAATTGAAACACAAAGTAATGAAAGTGACTTGCCCAGGGTCACACAGCTAGTAAGCATCTGAGGCCGGATTTTAACTTGGGTCTTCCTAAACCTGAGGCCCCCCACTTTATCTACCTCACCTGGTAGCAACCTGAGAACAGGACTAGAAGATGTCATCTTCCACATCTAAGGCTGTTAGGTGGGGTTGTGGTGCATACAGCTCTGGGCCTGGAGTCAGGAAGACTCATCTTTGTGAGTCCAAATCCTCAGGCACTTCCTAGCTGTGTGACCCTGGGCAAGTCACTTCACCCTGTTTGCCAGAGTTTCCTCATCTGTAAAATGAGCTGGAGAAGGCAAGGGCAAACCTCTCCGGTATCTTTGCCCAGAAAACCCCAAATGGGGTCATGAGGAGTCAGACATGAGTGAAACAACTGAACACCACCACCACTTCTAGGCTCACAGTCTTGCTGACCAATCCCTGGAAGACAACCTTTCATTTCTATCTTCTCCATCTACTGGTGCCCCATGGCCCTGACTGTCTCCCGCCATGCTTCACTGGGTCATCCGCCATCTTCTCACCAGCCCCCATCCCACCCTGGCCCCATACCCTTCCTCTCTCCCTACTCTTCAGACCTGGAACCATAATCAACACTCCCACTGCCCCTGGAAAGCGGATGTCAATTCTACTCCCCTATGACCCCACTCACTATCAAATTTCCCCTCCCTTGCACCATCCCCCAATGTGTATGGTCTCCTATTTTTATAATAACAATGATAATGATCATAGCTAACATTTATATAGCACTCAAGCTTCAAAAAGTGCTTTACAAATATCATCTCCTCCAATCCTCATGACACCCATGAGAGTTAGGTGCTATTACTGCTCCCATTTTACAGATAAGGGGACTAAGGAAGACTGAGGTTAAGTGACTTGTCCAGGGTCACACAGCCAGTAAGTGGCTGAGGCCAGATTTGAACTCTAGGCTTTCTGACTGCAAGTCTAGCTCTCTATAAAAGCTTCTCAAAGGCAAGAATTTTCTATGTGTATCTCCCGGGCTTAGCACAATCCTAGGTACACAGTAAGTGCTTCATAAATGTTTTTTTAAAAAATTTAATTAATTCATTTATCAATTCAAGAAATATATGATAGGAAGAGCAGATAAGCTGGTCACATGACGGGTATCCTGGAGCATCAGGAAGGAAGGAGATGCCGGGGGCTGGCAGGCTGGGCAGGTGTATTTGGGCTGCAATCTGCACTGCTGGCAGGACTTCCCACATCAATGGGGATCCCCTGGAGGGCTTGGACGTCAGGAGAAGTCTCCTGACGATTGGAGCGGCGCTTCAGAGGAAGGGCTAGTAACCGCCCCACTCCTGGAATGCAGAGTCAGGATGACAGAGCGTTGGATAATGATCCTAGCTAGCATTCAGGTAGCCCTTTCAAGTTTGCAAAGTGCTTTATAAACATGATCAAAAACATCTGAGCCTCTTAACAACCCTGGGGCATGGGTGTTGTTATTAGCCCTCTTTTACAGTTGAGGAAGCAGATGAACGTGAAGTGACTTGCCCAGGGTCACACAGCTAGTAGGTGTCTGCTTCCAGGCCTGGTGGCTCCATACACTGCACCCTGGAGAGGCCTTGCCCTACTGTGTGCCTGGCATTCCCCTGCAGGCCTCGTGCTAGCGGACACCACCGTCCAGGCAGAGGTCGACCTGTTCTTTTCTTCACTCACAGAATCGCCTCCCTGAGGGAGCCCCATGGGCTGAAGAGGACGGACCAGAAGGCCCTGACGCCCTCGTCCTCTCTGGGCTTTCCACTGGTTCTCCTCGTCCACCTCTGGCCACTCCTGCTCCGGCTCCTCATGTGACCATGGGTGTCCCCAGGGCTATCTTGGGCCCCCTTCTCTTCTTCTGCTATGCTACTTCGCTTGGGGGCCTCCATGGATTCAATGATCCCTATTCTTTTTTATTTCTTTATTTTTTGTGAGGCAATTGGGGTCAAGTGACTTGCCCAGGGTCACACAGCTAGTGAGTGTTATGTGTCTGAGGCCGGATTTGAACTCAGGTCCTCTTGACTTCAGGGCCGGTGCTCCATCCACTGTGCCACCTAACTGCCAACAAATGATCCCTGTTCTGAGGAGTCTCAGATCTATTATTACAGCCCTCACCTCTCTCTAACCTCCAAACTCCTGCCTCCAACTGCCTATTAGATATTTCAAACTGCACATCCCAAAGACACTTCCAACTCAGCAGGTCAAAAATGGAACTCATTTTTTCCAACACATGCTCCCCTCTTTCTAAATTCCTTATGACTATAGGGGGCAACACCGTCCTCCCAGGTCCCCAGACTCCCGACCAAGTTCCTCGCCGCCTCTCCCTCCCCACATCTAATCTGTCAATGCAGCGTCTCCCCAGCACGCTCCCTTCTCTCCTCTGGCATTGCCCCCACCCTGGTGCAGACCCTCATCAGCTCAGGCCTGGACTGTTGCCAGAGCGGCAGGGGGCGGGTCTGCCCACTGCAGACCATCCTTCACTCAGCACCCAAAGTGACCATGTCACCACCCTGCCCCATCCCCTCCAGGACTCTTCAGTCAATGTGCCGGCCTCCGTGCCCTTCCTGGAACCAGACACTCCATCTCCTGGCTCTAGACACTTCTAGGGGCTGTCCCCCATGTCCTCCCCTCCCCATCCCAGCTTCCTTCGATGGCCAGTGAACGTTCCACACTAACAGGAAGCCTCTTGGGGTCCCCCCAAGCCTGGGGCCTGCCCCCTGCTGATCCCTCTTCTCCCATCTATGGCTTCTTTGTACAGCGTCTCTTCAAGATCATGAGCTCCTCCAGAGCAGGGACTGGGCTTGGGATTTGTGTGTGTGCCTTTCTGTACCCCAGGAAAACAGCACAGTGCCTTACATACAGCAGGCACTTAATAAATGCCTGTTAACTTGCCCTGAGAATAAGGCACAACCTTTCAAAGGGAATGTGTGGGTTTGTTTTGCTTGGCAGCTGGGCAGTGCAGTGGAGAGAACCCTGAGCATGGAATCATGAAGATCTGAGTTCAAATCCCTCATCAAATACTTATTAGCTCGGTGATCCTGGGCAAGTCATTTAATCTCTGTGTGCCTCAGTTCCCTCATATGCAAAATGGGTATAATTACAGCATCTACCTAAAATGAGATAATATTTGTAAAAGGCTTTGCAAACCTTAAGGCCCAATATAAATGCTGCTGGCTCTACTCATTTATTATAAGGTGTGAGTGAATGCGTGGGGAGAGGCCTAAGAATAAAAGGGGAAAAAGATCACCAATGGGTCATTTTTCAAACGTGTACAGGAGAAACCCCCCAAAATCAAAAGGGGGCATAAATAGGGCCCTTTTGTTAACTACTGAGGCCACCAGCAGACAGAGCCCTGGGCCTGGAATCATTAAGACCTGAGCCCAAATCTGGACTCAAAACAATTATTAGTTATGACCCCGTGCAAGCCACTTAACGTGTTTGCCTCAGTTTCCTCATCTGTAAAATGGGGAAAATAATAGTTATCTACCTCCTGGAGCTGTTGTGAGGATTAAATGAGATAATAACCAAAATGCTTAATATAGTGCCTGGTACATAGTATGTACCATATAAATGCTTCTTCTCTTTCCTGCCACGGAAAATTCGTATTCCCAAATTTATGTTTGTATAATACAGCGTACTATACAAATACATAAATATGAATTTATATAACATATATAACAAATACGAAGAGGCATATGTAAATACAAATTTGTATGGTACAGCACACCATACAAATACGTCACAAACACGAAAATACAAATGTAAATATGAATTTATATTTCTATAGTTCCTCCCCACGACCCCATTTGGGGTTTTCTTGGCAGAGATGCTGGAGTAGTTTGTCTTTCCTTCTCCAGCCCATTTTAAAGATGAGGAAACTGAGGCAAACAGGGAGAAGTGACTTGCCCAGGGTCACACAGCTAGGAAGTGTCTGAGGCCGGATTTGAACTCGGGAAGATGAGTCTTCCGGACTCCCAGAGTACAAAACACTCTACAAACATATAACAAATACGAATTCACATTTGTAGATGTGCAGTATAGTACAGTGAGTGCGGTAATCAACACTGTAAAATTTGAATTATAAAGAGGTAATTTACGTTAATAAGTTAACACACTGGAAAACCCGAACAAGCACAGGTTCAGAGTATGGGAGGAGCAAACAGCGCCCTCCCTTTACCAACATGGCGGCGGCAGCCGGAAGTACAAGGAACGGAAGAGGCGCTTGCCGGATATCCGGTGTCGCCAATACAATTCCCTTTCCTTTTGCAAGATGGCGCGCGGGGGCGCCGGGAAGCGCGATGCGGGCGATTCGGGGTTCCTGGGGTTCCGGTCCGGTTCGGTGGACCCCGGGGCCGCGAGGCGGCGGCGACGCGGGCCTCGGAACAAGAAGCGGGGCTGGCGGCGTCTCGCGGAGGAGCCGCTGGGGCAGGAGGTGGACACGTTTCTGGAAGACGTGCGGCTGCAGGAGCGCGCGACCGGGTAGGCCCGCGAGGAGGGCGGGGCTCCCGAGAGGGCGGGGCTGCGAAGCGACTCCGGGGTCGGGCACGGTGGGTGGGCGTCTGACGGGCACTTCCGCTGGTCCTGGGCACACTTCCGGTCGGCCTGACGGGAGCGGGAGCCACCGAGCCGGTCCTTCCCTTGCACTTCCGGCGCGTGGTCCGGAGGCCGGGGACACTTCCGGTGCCGCTGAGGGGCCATGTGGACGCCGGCCTCGGGGAGCGGGTCACCGTGGCGGGGCCTGGGCCTGAGGGGGGCCGTTAGTCCGGCTGCGCCCCGGGGTGACATCCAGCACCCCGCCTTCATCCGCGCTCTCTTCGCCCCAGGGGCCTGATCTCAGAGACTCCGGATGAAAACCTCTTCTTTGTGGACACGGGGCGCCAGGAGAAGGGTGAGGATGGGGGGCGGGGGCGGGAAGCGAGGAGTGGGCAACCTGGGGGGAAGGGGAGCTGGGGGCGGGGCGGCCAGCCTGGCAGCAGCTTGAATGGGCTGGAGAAGAAGGGGGCAAGCCCGAGTAGATAATGAATAAGTGACCATCGATTAAGCGCTTCGTACCAGCTGGGCACTGCCCTGATCTGGTGGGATACAAAAAAGAGGCCAAAGACAGGTTCTTCCCGAGGCTTAAGAGGCGCAACTACTATAATGAACTGGTTAGGAATTGAGTGCAGGGGCGGCTTCTGTGAAAAGCTAAGCACAAAATAGAAGACCTGCTTCCCTGGAGAGGCGGTGTGCTGGAATGGGGCTGGGAAGCCCCAGTGTGCTGTTACTTTCCACGGGCGCTGCTGATTCCCCTTCGATGATCAGTCATTCAGCAAGCACTCTATGAAGTGCTCAATTGTACCAGACACTTGGTTCTAGGGAGTAGAAGGAAAAAGCCAAAACAGTCGCTGCCTGCAGGAAGCTTACATTTTAACAGGAGTGGAGAGGAGTATAAATCAGGAGAGAATTATAGGATTGGATTGGATGATTCCTCCAGGCCCCTTTTAGATCTGATGTTTTGTGGATTATAGAAGGCAGCACCCTAGAGAAGCCTAAAGCATACTTAAAGGAAGGAATTGTAGATCTAGGGGAGACCTTTGGGAAAAAAATATTTTAGCAATACTCTAAGTATTAAAATCAGTTAATTTAAATGTAAATGGTAGTTAAATAAATATAGTTATTTTTACTGATGTTTAATGTTAAATTTCTAGTGAAATGTCTTGTGTTAAGGTAAAACAGTGGAGTGTTGCATTTAATGTCTGACTTGCTTGGTGTGTTGGTTAGATTTGCTGAACTTTTTCTTATTCTTTGTCATAAAGGGTAGCTTTGGGGGGGTAGTAGGAAATGAAGGTATATAAGTAAAAGATAGTAATAAAGCATAATTTAAAAAGGAAAAAGGCAATCCTGTGCCTGTGTATGGGATTTAGGAGATGAAGGGGCTTCCTCCTTCCCCACCAAGGTTGGGGAAAACCCAGGCCTAGGAAATGGGAGCTCACTCTCAGATCCTGGGGGGTAGGGAGGTTGGGCTGGGGCAGGAGGAGGGAGACATGGAGCTCCCCTTCCCTGGCCTGATAAGTTCAGATTGTTGTAGCTTCTCCATGGGTGAAGGGAAGGGGAATTGTGATATAGGAAGCTAAGGTGTAAAGTGCTCTTAGAGACCATCTGTTTGACTCTTTCTTTTCCTCCAGACTTGAAGATAAATCAGGACCTGAAGAAGCGTTTTTGGATTGATCGTATTTTAGAATCACGTTCCAAAGTACCTTCCCCAAAAAAGTAAGTGAGTGTCTTTCTCTCCCCCTTCCCCTGGCTCCATTCTCCCTGGGATTTCCTTTCTAGGAATTATGAAAAGAAGAAGCTCCCTGATAAGAAGAAATATTTCCCCACTAGCCTGATACACAGGCACAGGACTGCCTTTTTTCTTTTTAAACTACATTTTGTTATTGTCTTTTATTTCTTTATTTATTTTTTTGGTTAGGCAGTGGGGTTAATGACTTGCCCAGGGTCACACAGCTAGTAAGTGTTATGTGTCTGATGCAGATTTGAACTCAGGTCCTCCTGAATCCAGGGCCAGTGCTCTATCCACTGCACCACCTAGCTGCCCCCTGTCTTTTATTTGTACATCTTTATTTCCTTCCACGAATGGCCTCCTGGCAGAGGGAGCAGGGCTGCACTAGGTGTTGCAGAATGGGCAGGAGCTGGGAGAGGACAAGGGAGCAGGTGAAGGATAGGGAAGGGGTGGGGCAGTTTTAGGGAGGTATTGAGGGAGAAAGTGGACTTTCTTTGAGAATAGCGGCAGCATGTGCAGGATCTTAGGGAAAAGAAGGCTGGCACTGGCCTGGGGGATCTTGATGGTCAAGCTGAAAAGTGTCGATGGGATGGTGTGGGCCATGGAGAGTCGTGGCGGGTTCCCACGCAGGATGGACAAGAGCAGTGGCTCAGAAGAGGGTAGACAGAGCCAGAGGACCAGGGAGAGTGAGAGACTCAAGGGGAGGAGCCATCAGAAGTCAGGGAACTGAGGCTGTGGTCCAGGCCATAGGGGATGAGGAAAATGGGTTTACAGTTTTCCTTATACCTGGGTCCTCTTCCCTCATCTCCCCTCTCATTGCCCCCTTCTTGGCAGCATCCTCGCCCACCAGATCCCCAATGGGAAGAAGCTGAAACGTAAACAGCGCTTGTGGGAGCACTTGGCCCAGCAGGGAAAGCTACCCCGGGAGGTGCGGAAGGCCCAGGCCCGGCTGCGTCAGCCCCCAGAGCCAAAGACCAAGCCTTCTGACTCAGAGGAAACAGCCAGCCGACCTTTCTATGACCTCTGGGCTGAGGATAGTAAGTGAGAGGAGGGATGGCTGGTCCGTGGACTTGACAAAAGCTGTAGGTCGAGATATAGAACACCCGGGTTCTAATTCCACTGCCTGGGTGGGCCTCACAACTCTTTGCCTCTGTTGCTACCGTTAGAGCTTTGGTTCACTATGGATCCTTGTAGCTGAGTTGGAGGCATTTGGGGGATGGGTTTGGAGGGAGGCCCCTCTTCCTTCTCTGCCCTTAATCCCCCATCCCCATCTTTCCCTGACACCTGGTCTTCTGTCCCCTGCCCCCCACCTTGTCCTTTCTAGATCCTCTGGACCGCCCCTTGGTTGGCCAGGACATCTTCTTCTTGGAACAGACCAAGAAGAAGGCAGTAAAGGTGAGGAGTGCGTGTGTGTGTGATAATGGGCAGGTGAATGAGATTTAAGGGAGGCAGGGCTGTGCAGAGTCACCAGCCTCATCTTCTCCTCCGGAGCCTTCTGGGTTCATTGGCGAGATATAGGTCAGGACTGCTGGAGATGGCCTCAGGTTGGGGAGTGAGGATCGTGGGGAAGCAGCAGCCGTGAGCAGCCAGGCAGGGAGAAAGACTCAGGTGCCTGCACCCTCGACCATGAAAGCTCAGGGGCCTTGTGCCCACCTAGGTCCCATGTTCTGTTGAAGATGCCTTTGGTTGCCACCGAGAGCTGAGATCAGGTGCCGGTGCCCTTGGATAGCTCACTTCCCCTCTGTGCCTTGGTTTTCTCATCTGTAAAATGGAGGCCTCGGACTGGACGATCTGCCACCTTCAATCCCGTGAACCCCATTGGAAGCTTAGGAAAGAGAAGAGACTTTGGCAGGGCCACACACGAGTCAGGCTGGACCCCAGCCCGTGGCTTCTTCCGCTCTGTTCTGGCTAGCTGGCCTGCATGCCTTCTCATCCCTTCTCCCCATTTCTCTCCTTCCCCTTTTGGCAGCGACCTCAGCGCCTGCAGACCAAGCCCTCTCAGGCCCCAGCTGTGGAAGTGATATCTTCTGGAGGCTCTTACAACCCCTCGTTCCAGGCCCACCAGGTACCACCTCCCTTCTTGCCCTGGACCCCCTCGACTGGTCCTGGGACATGCTGGGAGCTGGCCTTTCCTCCTCACCTGGTGTCCCTGTTTGTCTCTGCCAGGCCCTGCTCCTGGAAGCCCATGAAGTGGAGCTGCAGAGGCAGAAGGTGGAAGAGAAGCTCAGTCGCCAGCTGGCCTTCCCCACTGTGGATGAGGCCCCCACTCAGGTGCCTGCTGGGGACCCTAGGGAGCCTCGTGGCCCCGCAGCCCTGTCCTCTCTCCTCATCTCCACCTGCATGCAATGCTAGGACGCTGTGAAGTACTTGACACACAGAGAAATCCCTCACACATCATCCCTTCCATCATAGAACTGACTTTAAACTAGAGGGGCCTTCACTTTGCCAATTGATAAGTACGTAGGGGATAGCTTGGGACGGCCGAGGGGCCAGGGAGAGCATCACTGGATCAGAGTGGCCGGAGAGCCAACCTGGGGTCAGAGCCAAGTTTGAGTTCAGGGCCTCCCCCAAGTGGTTTTGTGAGACTAGAGCATGCAGGTCTGGTGTCTGTGTGTGTGTGTAGAGAGAGATCTGTTGAGATAGAGATGTAGATCAGTAGCGTTCAGTGGGCATTCTCTGTCCCAGAGAAATCTCAAATCTGGAACCCCCCAAAAATAACCCAGCTGAAAACAAGATTAAGGGGACCAGGAAAGCCTTCCTGTAGGAGCCGGTGTGTGAAGGAAGCTGGGAATTCTAGGGGGAGGGCAGGCGTGCAGGGCCTGACAGACTCGTGGCACGGAACCATCCTGGGGGATATTCTGTGGAGCGTGAGGACAAACAGCCGGTCGCTTGGGTGGAACGTAGTGGGTGTCGCCCAGAGGGGTACCGCAGCTCTGGGGATTGGGCCGGAGCCGTGTGGGGAAGTGTGTAAATTCTGAACTGAGACACTGGTACTTTATCCTCGAAGCAAGAAGGCAGAGGGGAGTAGTGCATTGAGGAGCCTGGAAGGCAGGGCTCCACGGGGAGATGGGGGGCATCCAGGCCAGAAGTGATGAGTGCCTGTACTTGGGGGGTGGCTGTGTGCCAGGAGAAGGCTTCAGCAGCCCCCGTCTTCCTCTCAGGAGTCGGCGTTCAAGGAGCAATGTGAAGGGCTCCTGGAGGAGTCGGACGGGGAGGCTCCCGCAGAGCCAGAGGGAGAGGAGGATGCAGGTTCCCTGGCGCACAGACCCCCAGGCCCAGAGAAGAAGACGGAGCAGCAGAGGAGGCGGGAGAAGGAGGCCCGGAAGTTGGTGAGGGGCACGTCCCTGCTCCTTCTCAGACGACTCCCCCTTGGGTGGCTTGGTGGCTCAGGTGCCAGGGGAGCTTGTGCAGGCGTAGGCCGGTTGGACAGAAGCTCCACCTTCTGACCCCTGGGCCTGGGCCGGGGTTTCCCCATAGAGAGCCCAGCAGGCGGCAGAGCGGGCAGCGAAGACGAGGCGCCAGGAGGTGTTCCAGCTCCGAGGCATCAGGCTACAGGTGGCCCAGCGGCTGATGGAGCTGGCCCGGCGGCGAGAGAGACGGAGGCTGAAGCGGCTGGCGGAGGACGCGAAACCCCGACGGCTGGGTCGGCTTAAGTGAGTAACTGGGCCAGGGGTTATATCCCCCCTAGTGTTAGCTGGTCTGCCCCAGTATCTCATCCATTCAGAATCCTTTTCTTCCACCCTCCACGGTCTGGCATTCGAGGCCCCCCACACTGTAGCCCTAGCCTTTTGTAATCATTCTCCCATGTGTTTCCTTCCACATCCCCTGGTTTTCTAGTGGGGAGGGAGGGAATGAGCGGGGTTTCTATCTCTGCCGCCACCACCCCTGGCCAACCCCTTCGGCTTTCAGCCCCGCCTGCCCTGTGTTTCTCCTTCCTTTCCCATCTTCTCGTGGTGAGTCCCGCCCTGTGGCCTGGCCTCCTTTCCTGGCTGGCAAGGCCAGGAGCTGGGGAAGAAGAAAAGGGCAACATGGCTTGTCTCCCCAGCCAGGTGAAAGTTTCCCTTTTTTTCTTAGCATCCTAAGGCAGTTGTGTAGGAGCCCCAAGATTTCAGATCTGGGTGGGGGAATGAACAAGGAGACCCCAGGTAGACATGTAGCTTATGTCCCTTCCCTTCCTTCCTGCTAGATATCAGGCTCCAGACCTTGATGTGCAGCTCAGCACTGAACTGGCCGATTCCTTGAGGAAGCTAAAGGTATTGGGCCCGGGGGCAGGAGGGGGCAGTGGTGTGTGTGGGGGGGGTCCTATGCCCAATGATGAGACTCATCCTTGCACGCCTGAGGCCCTGCTCTGCTAGCAGTCTGGGGCAATGGGCGACACTCTGGGTCCCCCAGGCAGGCCGGGTTTGGGCCGCCTCGGGGGCTGAGGGCATGAGGAGGCTGGGCTGGGGTCACGGGGCTCTTGGGTCCACCTGACACCTCCTTGTCTCTTTCCTAGCCTGAGGGTAGCATTCTTCGGGACCGATTTAAGAGCTTCCAGCGAAGGAACATGATTGAGCCTAGGGAAAGAGCCAGGTGAGGGTCCAGACGGATGGGCCACATAGGGAGGGAGAGGGTCTGAGGAAAACAGCCTCATCTCTGAGCTCCCTTCTCTGTCCATGCCCAGGTTCAAGCGGAAATACAAGGTCAAGCTGGTGGAGAAGCGGTCCTTCCGGGAGTTCCAGTGAGTGTCCCCAAGCCCTTGTCCCAGCCCAGCCTTTGGTCCCGAGTCTTGTCTCTAACCATTGCATGGTTTCTTCTCTCCACAGGCTGTAGCAGCTCTTCTGGACGCCTGCTCTGCCTGGCGCCTGATGCTCCATTAAAAGTTCTTTGGCCTGTCCTCTTTGTGCTTCAAGTCTCAGTCCGTCCTTGGGTTTTGTTGCCCCAGGGAACTCCCGGTTCTTCATACAGAAGCCTCATCTCCTGACGGTCGTGCTCGGCCGAGAGTGCCAAATTCTAATAACGTCATTAAAAATCACAGTGAACGTATAGGACAGACAGCAGTGTTTGGGGTAATTACCCAGGGGGCTTCAGCAGGAGAGCAGCGGGCTGGATGTCGGTGGGCTGCCTCAGTTGTAGTAGGTGTTTGCCAAAATCTCTCTTGCCATTCTTGGGTGGCTGAATGAGAGGAGTCTGGTCAGGTAGATTCACAGCTGGTAGAAGACTGGGAGTCCCGGCATCTGGGGGCATTGGAGGAGACATTCCGTGCCATCCCTCTCCTCCACCTCTTAGAATCCCCTCATAGCCACCTTGGTCAGGAAACCCTTCAAGGTCCTCCCCGCTGCCTTGGCTTCCCCTCAAAGACCACTTTGCAACTGCTCTGGGTGGATATTTTATGTGCCCTAATGCCTGGGAGGGACCCCTTTTTTTCCTAATATCTCCACCATTCAGTACAGCACGTGCCACCAGTCCCCTGCTTGATAAGTATTTCTAAGGGATTGGTCACAGTTGGGCACACAGGGAGATGGCTTAGTTGTTGGCAGATAGGCATGATACAGACCAGAGCATGAACCCCAGATGCAGTCCACAGGTGCCACTGAGCCCTTCTGGTCTAGACTTGAAGGTCATGTGCACATTAGTCAGGGGCCATGTGGAGTTGAGGGCTGTGTCACACCTACCTCCTTGCCACTCTTTTGGGATTTTGTTGAGTGCTGAGTCCCCAGAATGTATTTTGAGGGTGCAGATAGATTTGGCAACTTCAAAGAATTTCCCGACTCCGTGTAAGACGGCTTTTGTGAGGAACCTGTAGGCAGCACCAGGAGAGAGGTGTATGAAGGATAAACGCTCAGCCTAAGCCTTCCCTGGTCAGCTTGTATGGGCTGGGTATTTATCTGGGCAGGTAGCTCAGCACACCCTGCTGTGCCCTCTAAAGAGCTGGAGCCTTCCTTGGCAGGGAGAGGCATTTCAGTCACTGCCCCCAGCAGATGGCAGCCCTGAGGGGCTGGCACCGTGCCTGGCAGACCAGATGCTTGGCAGGTAACTTCTTGAGACATCTCCAGAGGGCATGCTGAAGTACCAGGTGAGAGTTCACCTGACCATGCATGTCCTCCAGGAATAATCCCATGTGTACCTGGTGTGCTTTCCAACACGTTTGCCTTGCACGTGTGGTCTCTGTGTGTCTTCTCCGTCGGTGTTGGGATAACCCATGTACCCCACATGTGAATGGGGAAATGTTTTGTGTGTGTCTGTGTGTCTGTGTGTCTGTGTGTGTGTTCAGTTTGACTTACTAAACACACACATTGCGCCGGGGGTTTCTGAACTGTGGTTTTGAGTGGCTGAATGCTGGTCAGGAAGGCCTGTGTGGGAAGTGATAAGGAACCCCTGCAGGCTGCATACCAGTGGGAATGTTTAAGGCCCCCGAGAGGAGAGGAAAGGACCTGTCCAAGGTCCTGCAGTGAAGTGGGGGAGGAGCCCGAGCAGAGCTCTGGTAAAGGGGAAAATCAGCATTTCCATCTCTTCCCTTAGGGTGATGTTTTCCCAGCCAGTCTCATGGGGTTTTGCTTTTTGCTTTTCTTAACCTTTTGTGGAGTCCCAGCAGCAACTCCTAGGACCCTTTACCTGCAAAATCACTTTCCTTTAGGGATCATTTACATTTTCTTGTGGTTTTTTTTTTTATAAATAAATTTATTTATTTTTGATAATCATTTAAAAAAGTTTTTTAAGTTATGAATTCTCTCCCTCCAGCCCCTCCCTTACCCACTGAGAAGGTAAGCAATATGATATATGTGTGAAATCATGCAAAACATTTCCATATTAGTCGTGTTGCAAAAAACAAAAATGTAAAAAGTGAAAAAAAGTTTATTTCAGTCTGCATTCTCAGTCCATCAGTTCTCTCTCTCTGGGGGTGGATAGCACTTTTTGTTATGAGTCCTTTGGAATTGTATCAAATCGTAGTAGCTAAGTCATTCATAGTCGATCATCACACACTGTGTAGTGTTCTGGTTCTGTTCACTTTGTATCAGTTCACGTAAGTGTCTGGATTCTTCTGAAGCCATCCTGCTTGTCATTTCTTATCGCACAATAGTATTCCATTACATTCATATGCCACAGCTGGTTCAGCCATTCCCCAGTTGATGGGCATCCCCTCGATTTCCACTTTTAGGTACCACAAAAAGAGCTGCTATAAATATCTTCGTACGTATAGGTCCACATCCTTTTTCTTTGCTCTTTTTGGGATACAGACCTTGAAGTGTTATTGCTGGGTCAAAAGGCACGTACAGTTTGATAGCCCTTTGGGCATAGTTCTGAATTGTTCTCCAGAATGGTTAGGTCAGTTTGCAACTCCACCAACAAGGCATTAATGTTCCGGTTTTCCCACGTCTTCTCCAACATTTATCATTTTCCTTTTTTTGTCATATTAGCCAATCTGATAGGTATGAGATGGTAGCTCACAGTTGTTTTAATGTGCATTTCCCAAATTATTGATTTAAAGCATTTTTTTCATGTGTCTATTGATAGCTTTGATCTCTCCTTTGATCATTTATCAATTGGGGAATAGCTTTTATTTTTATAAATTTGATTCAGTTCCTTCTATATTTGAGAAATGAGGCCTTTATCAGAGAAAATTTCTGTTAAAAAATTTTTTTCCAGTTTTCTTTCTAATAAACTATTTACATTTTCTATATTGTTCGATCACTCAGCATTTATTAATCACCTACTACTGTGTTCTATGGGGCAGCTAGGTGGTGCAGTGGGTAGAGTGCTAGGCCTGGAGTCTGGAAGATCCAGGTTCAGATCTGGCCTCAGACATTAGCTGTGTGATCCTAGGTGAGTCATTTCACCCTGTTTGCCTCAGTTTCCTCATCTGTAAAATGAGCTGGAGAAGGAAATGGCAAACCAGTCCAGTATCTTTGCCAAGAGAACTCCGTGGTTGGACGCAACTGAACAACACTTCTAGGCACCAGGAACACAAACACAAAGTTGTTTCAAGGGGCTTAGGTTCTCACGGGGGATAACAAATGCCAACATGTATGAATACCAAATCCTACACCGAGATAGCAGGTGTAACCTTGGTAAGGAGGAAGGCCCCAGAGAGTGGGGAAGTAGGAAAGATCTGCAGCAGTCAGCGGGAGGCTCGCTTGGCCTGCCCCTCACTGGGCATCGGTGTAGGTGTCCCCTGGCATTGGCTGGAGTAGAGGTACCAGAAGTTGTTCCTGTTAGAAGGGGCCTCTGGAGACGGATGCTTGCCACACTGTGTTCTCTCAGAGGCCTTCTCGAGTCCGAGCTGGAAGCAGAGGAGGCAGGGGCAGGATTCATTCATGCAACGTGAAGTTCTTTCTGCTCGCATATGTCAGTAGCCAAGACAGACGATTTGGTGCTGTGCTTTGGCCAGCAAAAGCAGACGTCCGCAGGAATCCTCCACATGGACGGGATCACAGATGCATTGGTTTATTTCTGAGGATACGTTTTCTAGGAGCATGCATGGTCACGTCCTTGTCTGCAAAGCTGAGACGGCGATAAAAATGGAAAACAACGAATGGTTCCTTAGGGTGATGATCATTGTAGGGACAGCTAAGCAGTCATACTGCATGTGGTCCTAATGTGAGGGCAGGTGTGGGCATCACGTAGAGGGAAACAGCAATGCAGGTCATGAAGAGTGGAATGAACTCATCTGCGAGGTAATGAATTTTCTATCCCCAGAGATCATCATTGTTCGGGGGTATGGCGGGTTGCTACCTGGAGGAGGTTGGGACTTGAAACTCTGTGGGGCTCCATCCAGCCCTAACATTTTACTTCCCAAAGCTCCACTCTGATTCAGCAATCCATGTTCTACGATCCCTTCCAATGTGTGTAGAATGCTGGATGTAATACCAGGAGAACCTGGGTTCAAATGCTGCCCCAGACACTTAGCAGCTGCGTGGTCCTTGGGTAAGTCACTGACTCTGTAACTCCGTTTCCTCATCTCTGGAATAGGGACACTATCACCTTCACAGGGTTGTGAGAACCAAATGAGACAATTTATGTGCTTTGCTTTAAAAATCCTAAAGCACTATATACATTTGAGCTGTTTTCTGCTCCCAGATGTATCCCAGCATGCAGTAAGGCAATGATTCTCAAACCTTTTGGTCTCAGGACCCTTTTACACTCTTTAAACATTATTGAAGGGGCAGCTAGATGGCTCAGGAGGACCTGAGTTCAAATCTGGCCTCACACTTGACACTTACTGGCTATGTGACCCTGGGCAAATCACTTAGGCCCGGTTGCCCCCCCCACACACACACCAAAATCCAACAACATTGAGGACTCCCTGCCCCCAAAAGTTTTTATTTCTGTGGGTTATATGTTGATACCATATTGGAAATTAAAATGTTTTAGGATTTTGAAATTTGTTTTGACCTTGCAGACTCCCTGAAAGGGGCTCAGTGATCTCCAGATTGCACTTTTGAGAACCACTGCTCTGAGGTCCCTCCCAGTTCTCTTTCTCCCTGCTCTTAAAAAAACCATTTTTTAAAATAATGAATTTAACAAAAAAGAAAAAAAAAACCAAAGACCATCGACAAGAAGGAGGCAGCGTTAAGGCAGCATCAAGTAAGACTAAGCACTGCTGCACTTCTAGGCTCCCTTTCTTGCAGAGTTACACCAGGAAAGTCCCTTCCCCTCTCTGAGCCTTAGCCTTAAGAGGGGAATATAATTCACGTCCCGTCAACCTCTCGTGAATGTTAAGAGTACGCTTGGTGAGCTGTAAGAG